TCTAGAAAACTATCCTAATGAAATAATTATAAAGGAAATATAAAGATTCTAGAATGTGCACTCCCTGAGGATGAGGATTTGTTTTTTTCTGTTTGGTCACAGAGCTACTTTCAGCAACTACAGTGGTGTTGGACATCCTCTCTAATCTGGATCAACCTCTTAAGAACAAGAGCCTACTTTGCTGAAGGAAGTTCAAGTAAAAAAAACTATTACTTAGCTTCTCCTTAACATCTATGCTACGGAAGTGAGCTCCTTTAGTATTAAGTTCATAGAACTTCTATACTCATGCAGTGTCTATGTTTTCAGCTACCATGTTCTCCACTTCAGTAAAAAACAAGAACAAACCAACAAAACAAAGGTTTGTTCATGCTAATGATAATATTTGGTGTAAATTGTGTGGCCCATTTACCAGCACCATTTCTATACTCCCACATACAGAACTCTTTACAAACATGTCATGTTATTTAATATCTTCATGCCTCCCTAAGCCTTCAAATCTGGCATTGTGTTTGTAAAATACATATTTTCATGTCATTGAAACTTGTCTTCCAGGTAATTGAAATTCACATAATTCTATAATGTCTTGTTTTGGGACAACTCTGAGCCTTTGGGTATTTCTCTCTCTATCTGGAATGTTGGATCCAGTGAGGGAGCAGCCATTAATAAAGAATTCTTGTTAAATCTTTACATTTCCTGTGAAATCTTTTTGTTTTTTTACTCTGTTGGGAAGAATCAGTCCTTTTCAGATCTGTCTCCTGCAAAAAACAATGATTTTCTCAAAAGCGAAGATTGTGTTTTATTGATATTTGCACCCAAGTATATGTTCCAAAGCTTGTGGTGTCTATATATTTGCTGAATGAATGAGCATGGTACCTATATGATAGGAAAGAGAGTCTCAAAAGGAGGCTGGACTGGGGAAAAGGGGATCACAGAAAAGAGGACTGAGGGTTTACCAATAAATTTTCTTGTAACAATAGCAACTAGTGGGAGAAGAGAATGAAGAACCATCTGATTTGCAAAGTATCTCATGACAGTACTTAAAGGTCACTACATTTCCATGGAAGATAAATGGGGTGCCTAATGACCAAGTTCTGGGAAGCTACTGATCCCTCTTTGGTGTATGAAGGTCTATATTTACCTAAAGGAGTTTCCTCTGAGGGCCCAAGACCCAAGGGGGGGAGAACAGAGAGCCATATAATTGCCATTGCAGCAGATGCAGACCTGCATCCTGATTTAGTCAGAAGAGGCTGGGACAGCAAGTGAGAAGTATTGCAGGATTGGAGAAAGAAGCCATAGACAACAAGGGACCAGTAAGTTGTTGAAGGTGCCTAGATGTAGCCAACCCAATGATGTCTCTGGTACCTCCTATCTAGAAGGCCTATAGGTAGGGTGATGGGATAGAGCAGCTTCCAGGTTTATGGCCAGTCTATGGTATCTTATATCCCCATGATCTTTTGAGTTGGAAAGAGAGACCAGAATTTGTCACTAGGTGTTCATTTGCAAACATGGCAGCTTCCTGGGTAAAATCTGAAGCTGGCCCTGGCAGATGGAGGGCAGGGAGAGATTGAAGAAAGAGGCAGGCCACTCCAGATTGGTAGATGGCAGGTTTAATAAACAAAGGAAGTTACTTACAATGGCATGTCTTGGGAACCACAGGAAAAGTAGCTCTCTGCACCTACCACCAGAATCTTGAGTGGCTTCAGTCATGTATACCCTCCAGATGGGCTCAACAATACCGTATTCTCCTAAGGCTGTGTCTGAGGATGAGGAAGGGAGGTAGAAGGCATATTTCAAGGAAAGAGGTGAAGAGTGGGAAGCCTCAGATTCCCTGGGTCTCTCTTATGGGTCAACCTGTGGTCATGTCCTCTTGGTGACCTCCCCCAGCACTGGGCTGAGAATTGGATTGGAGTAAAACAGGGTATGGCAGGAATGGATCATAAGCTCAACAACTCCAGTCCCTCAGCGTATATGGCTTCTAGCACTTCAGAACACTTCTTTCCACAGTCCCTTTAAATCCAATAGTTTCCCTGGAAAGAAGGCAGGGAACACATGAAAATCTTCCATTGCAGAAAAAGGTTAAGATGCAGAAGCATTCACTCGCTTCACCAGTCATGTGGCTGGTTGTCCAAAAACTGCTTAAGAGCTCTGAGTCCCAACTCTGAGCTTCTCACTCTTTGCTTTTGTCAGATGACTTATTGGATTTCCCTTGGAGCTTGCTGCAGATATGAAGGGAAGAGCTAGAGCTCTCATAAGGTAGATAATTTCTGTGGAGAACTTCCAATAAGAAAGTAGTGTTGGAAACTGCAGGTAATAATCTACATCTGTTGAGTGTGTGGTTCCAACTGCACCACATGTAGAGTCACTTATAAATGGCTCTATGATCTACAAAGGGTAATAGTTGTCCTACTTTTTCAGATAAGGAAATTGAGATTAAGTAAATAATTAGCATAATTAAAGAGTTAATAAATGTTAGGGGTATGATTTGAATGCAGACCTAATTTCAGAGCTACTTTCTTCACCACCACACTGTGGTACCTAAAGAAACTGTGTCCAGAAGGCCACAGGACTCCATAGGTCCTTCACTGCCAGCGGGCTTGAGAGAGTGAGATTGAATAGAGTTGGAGATTCCCTGGGTGCCTCCTCACCCCTCTGTTCCTCACGCTTCTCATATTGGCTCCTCAGTCTGACCATATCTCCTATCCCCATCCTCTGTGCTGCTCAGCTTCTCTCTCATGTTGTCTCAAAGGAGACTCTCCTTTCTTCTCAACACCCCCTCCAGACTTGCCACTCTGCACCCACCCCTTTCTCTGCTTCTCCCTTTCTCTCTCCATCCTCCCTCAGTCCCTAAATTTCCCATTAGTTTAGCCCTTGGCTTTCCCCTTCACTACTCCTCTGACTCTGTCCTCTCCCTAGTTGTCTGTCCATGCCTGTCTGGTGCCAGCCTCTCTCTGACCTTAGCCTTGCCACCAGCTCCTCCATCCATTCCTGCTCTGTCTCACATGCTTTCACTCTCATCTTGTGCTCCTCAGGTTCTTCTTCTAAGTCACCAAGCCCCTTTATCCCTGACACTTATCCAGCCCTTTTCTGTTCTTCAACATGTTTCTCCCTAGCTTTCCCCACAACTCAACCTTCTTTGTCCACTTCTTCACAGTCTTCCAGCCCCCTCTGCTTCCTGAACCATGGGTCTCTGCAACTTGCCTTTCAGCATATTTGTTTTAAGGCCATTTCTCTTTTCCTTCCTCTAACTGACCCTCATTATACTTTCTCCCATTCCTCAGCCTCATCCTGTCTGTCCCTCAGTAAATGCTGTGATCTATTCCTCAGGATCCCCTTTTATCCCTGCCCCCAGTTACTCCCTCAGCCTGTTGCACTGTCAGTAGATTCCTAATCTTTCAAGGGCACGTGGCACCTTATGCCAAGATCTAAAACACTCTCATGTTAAGGAGAAGATGGAATTTCTTTCTGCATAACAGGAGGAGATAAAGAGTAAAACTCATAAGGGAAGAATACAAGAAAAGTATTGTTTGGTTTGGTAGCAATAGCAAATATATTTGTGGATTATAATCCAGAGTTGGTGCTAAATTTTATACATATCATATGCTAATTAAAACACATCAATTCTTTACTTAGGAAATAGTATCATTATTTTACTGATGAGGATGCAGAACCAAATATTACATCAGACACTGAGATCTCGGATAGCAGGGCTTGTGTTGTGAGCACCTCTCCAGTACTCCTGTCTTTAGTTCTTAATAAACTAATTTGAGTAAAGAATAGGCTTGGCCCTTATTGCTTCTATTTCAAGGTACACTTATTGATACACTTTTTTTTTGTAATACCTATTCAGGAAATACTGCTCTAATAAGTAGTCCTGATTTATTAAAGTTGAATCAGTTCCCCAGCTTGATTTCTGGAGAGAGATACTTTAAAAACAGAGAAGAAAGAAATAAGAAAGAAAGAAAGAAAGAAAGAAAGAAAGAAAGAAAGAAGAAAGAAAGAAAGAAAGAAAGAAAGAAAAAAGAAAGAAAGAAAGAAAGAAAGAAAGAAAGAAAGAAAGAAAAGAAGGAAAGAAAAGGAAAAGAAAGAAAGAAAGAAAGTTCCAGAAATAAGAGTAAAGGTAGCAGCTTTAAAGATATAGACTGTATTAAGGATGAATTAGCATGACTTCCCAGGGATCTGAGATACCTGAGGCATAAGATACTGGAGAGTGAGTCATGGGTTCTTTGAGAGGGGTTAGATTTGGAAAGAAGCAGGATACCTCTTCTCCTGATCATAGGGACATGTGGGGAGGATCTCATAATGGCAATAAGGAGAGCAGACTGGATGAGGAAACTCTCTACAGTCATTCTTGATTTGCTTAGAAAAATTGGATATAATTTCTTCTACAGGAAAAGCTTGGAAGGTTTAGTCATACAAAAAAGACAACTTGGGAGTAACAGAATTTCAGAGAATCTCAGCACTGTTAAGGTTGAGCTCTAGATTTTTTTTAAAGATTTTATTTATTTATTCATGAGAGGCACACACACACAGAGAAAGAGGCAGAGACCAAGGCAGAGGGAGAAGCAGGCTCCATTCAGGGAGCCTGACGTGAGACTTGATCCCAGGTCTCCAGGATCACACCCCAGGCCGAAGGTGGTGCAAAACTGCTGAGCCACCGGGGCTGCCCATTTTCTAAGAGAAGTTAAAAAACAACAATAATCCTATCTTTCACAACTGATTAAGAACAAAAGTAGAGGAAAACCCTTGTTGAGGCTTACTGTCATGAGGTAAGCAAAGGAATGGATGGGAATAAGACAAAGAAAGGAGGAAGCAGGAAAATGACAGGCTGCTTCTGTGGGCAGTGGTTAATCAAGAGGTCACTGAGGCCACAGTATATTAGAAAGACCAGACCGGCCAGCAGGGGATTGGTGTCCGGTGATAGCAGGAGTGCTCAGTGCTTAATGGCCTAGTAACTCTCAAAACACCACCCCCTTTTCCTAGAGTGAATAGACTTCTTGAGAATGAGGATATCCACCCTACCAAGGGCCAACATGAGCTTCTCTACATTCCTGCTAACAGGTTTCCCAGGCCTGGAATGGGCTCACCACTGGCTCTCACTACCCATTTTTGTAGGATACTTGGTGGCCCTCATAGGTAATGCTACCATCTTGCATCTGGTACGAACTGAACCTTCTCTCCAGCAGCCCATGTACTACTTCTTGGCCATCCTGGCTGTGACAGACTTGGGCCTGTGCATGTCCACGCTGCCCTCAGTGTTAGGTGTACTGTGGTTTGACGCCCGGAGGGTGGGCCTGGTGCCGTGTGTTCTGCAGCAGCATTTCCTGCACTCCTTCTCCTTCATGGAGTCAGCTGTGCTCTTTGCTATGGCCCTGGACCACCTGGTGGCCATCCGGTTCCCATTGCATTATGCATCTGTGCTCACAGGTCCTCGCGTGGCACTGGCCGGGGCTGTGCTGGGTATGCGCAGTGCCGCCATCACAGCTGCGCCCTCACTGCATCTGTTGAAGTTTGACTATTGTCGCCCAGGGTCTCTGTCTCATGCCTACTGCCTTCACCAGGACATGATCCGCCTGGCCTGCTCCGACACACGCTTCAACAGACTCTATGGGCTGTGCATCATCATGCTGGCCATGGGTTCAGATGTCCTTTTCATCCTGCTCTCCTACACTGTCATCGTCCGCACTGTGCTGGCCATTGCTTCTGCCAGGGAGAGGCTCAAAGCCCTCAATACTTGTGTCTCGCACATCCTGGCTGTGCTTTGCTTCTATGTGCCTGTGCTAGGCCTTTCCATCGTGCACAGATTTGGACACCACACTTCGCCCTTAGTGCACATCCTCATGGGCACCGTCTCCGTGCTCTTCCCACCCCTGATGAACCCTGTTATCTATAGCATCAAGACCCAGCAGATCCGCAGGGCCATCCTCAAGGTGGTTTCACTGGGGAAGATACAGTGAGGCATTGGCAATGGACTACAGCAGTTCAAAATGAGGAATGAGTTCATGCTTCTTTTTAAGCCTTCATACCGTAAAGCAAGTTCTGCTTACCTATTTTAGTTTGATCAATTGATTGTACATCGTGAATTGACTCTAATGTTAAAATCAAATAAAGTCTATGCTCATACTACGTATGTACGTCCTTATGAATGTAAAGTGGCTACTTTCTTATATTAAAAAGAATGATTTTTTTTTTACTTAAATGTTTGCATGTTCAAAGTGATTTTTATATTTTCTCCTCTACTGATTTGGTAGAACTCTAATTACATAATGTTGTCCGTGATAAGTTACTCTGATTATGTGGAGACTTAAATCATCACTTCACATTTTTTGGATTAACTAATGAGTTTGCCACCATTCTTTAAAATATAATAATTCTATTATAGGAGAAAAATGAGTGGGAAATATCAGAAAGGGAGACAGAACATGAAAGACTCCTAACTCTGGGAAACGATCTAGGGGTGGTGGAAAGGGAGGTGGGCGGGGGATGGGGGTGACTGGGTGATGGGCACTGAGGGGGGCACTTGACGGGATGAGCATTGGGTGTTATTCTATATGTTGGTAAATTGAACACCAATAAAAAACAAATTTTTAAAAAAATAAATAAAAGTCACAAAATGAAAGAAAAATTAAAAAAATAATTCTATTATATACATTTATCAGGGAAAGTTTTTTTGTATATCTAAGAGTAACTTTCCAATATGTCTTTTTTTTTCTATATCATAGTCTGGGACAGAATTAAGTCCGGAGGAGGCATACAGGCTTAATTTATAGGGTCCCTGGGTGGCTCATTTAAGCACCTGACTCTTGATACCGGCTCATATCATGATCGCAGGGTCATGAGACTGAGCCCCAAGTCTAGCTCTGTGTGGGGTGTGGAGCCTGCTTAGGACTCCCTCTCTCATTCTTCCTCTCCCTCTGCCTTTCCCCCCTCTATTTCTACTCTCTTTCTCATTAAAAATAAAGCTTAATTTATAACCTGAACAAGAAAAATTGATTGACGGAGTTTCAGATCTGTAGGTAGTAATGTGACAGAAGTATGTCCTTGAATTGCAAACCTAAGGAAAAACCCCCAGATCTGAGTACAAGGTGCAAATTCAACAGGCCACTTAGATGATACTTTGCCAGTTTCAGTACAAGACAATTTCTGCTATCCCCTTAGGACACAAGAATGTCACTGACCAATAAGGTTTAGGACAAAGGACAATTATCAGAGTATTTTAGAAGGATCTTTAAGCAGACATATACTATCATACAAATACATAAGTTATAAGAGACATGCAGGACATTTATGCACATACACAGACGTGAATGGATATTCAGTTTCACTTTTCACCCAGATCTGAGGGTTCTTTCCTTGGATTAATGAGTCAAGGACATACCTCTGTCATATCACCACCTACACAAATGCACATTTGATGGTAAATATATTCGTGGGAAAATATACATGCTTATAGGTTCATAAAAACTTGCAAACAAATTTCTACCTGAAGGAACATGGTATATATACATCTACACACATGCACACACACACATGCATTCAGATGCATATTTACATGAATTTACACACTAGCAAATGCACATAAAAGCATGCTCACACAGATATGTATACCCACACACACACACACACACATACACATCTTGTATATTATCTCTGAATTTGACTTATAGTTCCCCAGAGAGCATCTCCTGGGATCCTCTGCTCTTGGCCCAATTCCTGCAGGCCTAGAGGCAACACATTCTTCTGAGGCTGGTTTGCCTGTGTATCCCAGAGGACTGCCTGGCAAAATTGAGAGGAGAAGGCTAGTTCTAAAGTCACAATAAATAAGAAGGCCAGTCAGCCCCTGCTTCTAGGTAGTGAGCTGAAGACCAGCCTGAGACTGACTACCTTGAATGGGTAGGTGGACCTTCATAGAGGAGTAGTGGAGTTGGCATAGAAGTCCAGCCAATTGGATCAGGAGGATGGGAAATCTCCAGTTCAGGTGAGCTGAAATGGGTTTCCTTTCTGAGATGCAACTCATTTCCAGCACAGATTTTATGCTCCCCTTTCTTCATGTCATGAAATATCCCTCCTGGCAGGACTCAGACTTTTATCCAGAAAGCCTCACTGTGACAGAGAAATACTTGATCTTTTTTATTCAATTCTTCTCTATTAATTCAGGAAAACTGGGGCAGGGAAACCTCCATTTTTTTTCCAAGTCCAAATTTTAAAGTAGGTATTTAATTCTCCTTTTAAATCGTTGTTTCTAAAAAAAAAAAAAAAATCGTTGTTTCTTAGACCTATTTACCCTCCACTCCCTCACCTTCCATGTCAATAGTCCTTGTCCCCTCTGTCCCATGCAGGCAGCCACATAGCCTGTAGGGCCTAGTCACTCTTGAAACCAGCTCCTAGATGACATGTGTTTTTCACTGTCCTTCCTCCCCATCTGGTTGACTGATTCCTCCAACCCATTTGTTACCATGGGCTTCCTTGTACCACTTTTGTTCAGGCTCCTTGTTCTCTTAAACTGCAGGTTTGCCACTGTGAGTTGGCAAGTCACTTGAAATGCTGATCTCTCACTTTCCCAAGTTGTTAAATGTGTATGAGTGAGTTGTTTTGAGTATTTTGAGAATAAGTCAGGTGACCTATATACAAAGATAACACATACAGGGCACCCTTCCAGAGTACCTGATACATTGTACTAAATCAATGTGGATTGCTTTTCTTTTCTTGTTTTTTTTTTTTTTAATTTTTATTTATTTATGATAGTCAGAGAGAGAGAGAGAGAGAGAGAGAGGCGCAGAGACATAGGCAGAGGGAGAAGCAGGCTCCATGCACTGGGAGCCCGACGTGGGATTCGATCCCGGGTCTCCAGGATCGCGCCCTGGGCCAAAGGCAGGCGCCAAACCGCTGCGCCACCCAGGGATCCCCTTTTCTTTTCTTGTAATTCTAAGTAAGAATTACCAAATTCTAAGCAAGAATTACCTTTTCCCCACCAAACACCAGGCTTTAACCTCCTTTTAAAATATTTCCCTCTCAACCCACACACCTCTTTCATCAGCATCGATCTCTGACTTCCTAAGGTAACAGCTTTTCATATACAATGGAGTAAAATGATATTACATGATTTTTTTTTTGTCTTGAGAGGTTATCATTTGATAGAAGAAGACAAAGTCCTTCCACTGTTTCCTGCCTCAAATTCCCAGCCTAGACCTTATCACCATATCAATATGCACCTTCTTTCCTGTTTCCTGCCTTCCTGTGTCCCTTCCCTTTTATTAAGCCCTGGTGACATGCTCAAAATGTAGGCCCTCCATATTTTATTTTATTTTAATTAATTAATTAATTAATTAATTAATTTATTGTAGTCAGAGAGAGAGAGAGAGAGAGAGGCAGAGACACAGGCAGAGGCAGAAGCAGGCTCCATGCACCGGGAGCCCGATGTGGGATTCCATCCCGGGACTCCAGGATCGCGCCCTGGGCCAAAGGCAGGCGCTAAACCGCTGCGCCACCCAGGGATCCCAGGGCCTCCATTTTCTTTGGAAGAACTTACAGACAACCAGAAGAAGGCACACGAACAACTTAAATGGCAATACAGGGGATGGAGTGCTAGATTAGAGGGAGGTGCTGCTGCAGAAAGTGATTAACCACATGCCCAAGTGAGGAAGACATCACAGGACTGACATCTGAGCCAGATGTTCCAAAACAATGATGAAAGTTACATTAGTTTTAAAATATAATTTTTAGTTGATCTGAATGCTGAAGTGCTTAAGAAATGGAAGGCAGAAAGGAAAATAATAACAAAAATCAAAGGAATGACCAGGAGAGGAAAAGAGGAATTAGGATGTGTCAGGATTTGCAGTATCTTATGGTTTGACTCCCTCCCTTTTCCCCACCTTCCCCTATGTTCAAGTATTATTTCTTGAATTCCACATTTGAGTGAGATCATATGGTATCTGTATTTCTCTGACTGACTTGTTTTACCTAGCATAATATACTCTAGCTCCATCCAGGTTGTTGCAAATGGCAAGATTTCCTTTTTTTTTTTTTTTTTTTTTTGAGAGAGAGTCCACTTAAGTGGGGGTGGGGAGGGGCAGAGAGGGAGGGAGAGAATCCCATCAGGCTCCACACTTACTGGATGCAACGTGTGGCTCAATCTCATGACCCTGAGATCATGACCTGAGCTGAAATCAAGAGTTGGATGCTTAATTGACCAAGCCACCCAGGCACCCCAAGATTTCATTCTTTTTTGTGGCTGAGTATTATTCCTGTGTGTGTGTGTGTGTGTGTGTGTGTGTGTGTGTGTGTATCTCACTTGGGTTCTTTCCATAGTTTGTCTATTGTTGATAATGCTACCATAAACATTGGGGTGCATGTGCCCCTTCAAATTAGTATTTTTGTATCCTATGGGTAAATATGTAGTAGTACAACTGCTGGGTCATAGACTAGCTCTATTTTTAACTTTTTGAGGAACCTCCATACCTTTTTCCAGAGTGGCTGCACCAGTTTTGTTGTTGTTGTTGTTGTAATATAGGTGACATTCATCCACATCCTGATGGCTCAGGAAGCAGAGGCAAATGATTTCTTACAGGCATTCCAGATATTTGTAAATGCAATAAGGTTGGGATAAAGATACAAAAGTGTTATCTTCAATCTAGAAAAATTTAAGCAATTCAGAAATTGCTTAATTGAAAAAAAAAAGAGGATAAGGCTGGAGAGAGAAAGGCCTAAGTGAAAAATGATTATGTAAAAATTAAATGTCGGGCAGCCCAGGTGGCTCAGTGGTTTAGCACCACCGTCAGCCCAGGGTGTGTGATCCTGGAGACCCAGGATCAAGTCCCAGTTCGGGCTCCCTGCATGGACCCTCCTTCTCCCTCTGCCTGTGTCTCTGCCTCTTTCTCTTTCTCTCTCTGTGTCTTTCATGAATAAATAAATACATAAATAAATTAAAAAAATAAAATTAATAAAATAAAATAAAAAT